ATACAGCTCACTCATCTTCTCTTTAACAGATGCATGGGAAGCCATGGCCCAGACGTACCGGAGTTTGTCACGAGTTGATTATGTAACCATGCACTAGTGTCCTCTCTCAGGAATGCTCCCTGCTCCCTGGAAGGCAGAGCTATGATTTGCCTCATTCTAGAGAAAAGGCTGAGACAGGTGGAGGTACCTACCTGCCCAGGGTCAACCAGCCAATGAGCTAAGAGCTGCAATTCAAACCCAGGCTCTATCTGCATTCGTTTTTATCTGCAGTTGACAAAATGCATTTCCCAAACATGAGCCTCATGCACCATTTTCCATGGCAGAGACACGCAGGGTGTATCATTATCATTGACCTTCCTTCTGATCCTCAAATATCAGACATTCCCGCCTCAAGGCCTTTGCACCGGCCTTTTCCTCCACCTGGAATTCCCTCCCTCCCAGCTTTCCAACGGCTTGTCTCTTCTCAGCCTCTCAGCCCAGACGGGCCTCTGTGCTGAGGCTTCTTCTGCCTGTGGCTGAACTTGCCCCTGACCCCGCGCATTACCCTGTCTTATTTTCCTTACCGCGCTCATCACTATTGCAATGCAACCGGTTTATTAATATTTAGAGGAAGTGCCCTGGAATTAGAAAACTTATACAGTTCTATGAGTTTTGACAAGTAGATACAGTCATGTAACCACCACCACAATCATGATATACAACATGGCCAACACCCCAACAATTCCCCTGTGTCCCTTTGCAGTCAGTCCCCACCCTCAGGCCCCAGGCCTTGGCAAGTACAGATTCTGACTTTTCCGGAAAACCATATAAATGGAATGACAGTATGTAGCCACCTGAGTCTGGCTTATTTCACTCAGCATACTATATCTGATGTTCGTCCATGCTGGTGCACGCATCAATAGCTCATTCCTTTTTATTGCTGAGAAGAGTCCCTTGGATGGATGGACCACAGTTGTTGTTTCTTCATTTGCCAGTTCAAGTCCCTTTTTGTATAAATAATGCAGGAGAGAAAAAGGCTTGAGCAGGTCCCCAGGGCCCTGAACCTGCTCATCCATCAGCATCATCTGTTGTCTGTCTGGGACAACCTGCCTTCCTGCTCCAGCCCCTGCCTGTCCAAGCTCCTTTCCTTTCCTTCCAGACCCTTTTCAAATGCCCTGTCTCCAACAAAGAGTAGGATTGGCTGACCCCATATCACAGATTTGTGCAGTGAGGCTCTGAGAAATGTAGCACTCCCCAAGGGTCCACAACGAGAGTGTGGCAGAGCCACAACGCAAACCCAGGGTGGAGGAGAGAGAAATGGTAGCCCAGGGAGCAAAGCTCAGCCACTTTGCAGCTGGAAGGTGGTGAGAAGTCAAGCCCCTGTCCCCCATAAAGGCCTGAGAATTTGCCCGCATGAGGGTGATGGAGAAGGGGGAGGTCTAATCCTGGGTGGGTGGGGTCTGGAGAACAGTCCATCCCATCCTGGGTGGGTTCCTCCATTGAGACCTTCCCTTCACCCTTCAGCTGCTGCCTGAGCCCTGGGCCAGACCCAACCCCTACCCCCAGGCCAGTGTTAGTCCCCAGAGCCCCAGCCTGGCCAAACTGGGCCCATCTGGCCTGCATTATCCGTTCCAGGGCCCATGCTGGTGGGCGGGTGTGGCAAATTGGGTGATGGGCTCCAGCTGCGGGTGGCCTTTGCCCTGCCCGGCCACTTGCAACCACAGGACAAGTGGCGGACCAGAGAGGGTGCTTAGGGAGCTCGAGTCACTCAAGGTGACCCTAAGCTACCCTGGTCACCAGCCCAGCTCTGCACACCTGGGGGGGCCCTGGGCAAGGAGTCTTATAAGCTAGCCTGCCAGGGGTGACTTTGGGCAAGACTTCTGGGCCTCGGTTTGTCCATCTGCAAATGAGAGCCTTGGGGGAGATGGCTGGGAAGGTCTCACTCCGGAATGCATTCGCTGTTTGCCCACCCGGAGCAAGAGCTCAGGACGTGGGAGTCTGCATGTGAATCCAGGTTCTAGGAGGTTCATGGCACATGGAAAAGCCGAGACCAGACTCAGTATAGCTCTGCTGGCCCTTTACGCACCTGGTGGGCCCAGCCATTAGACTCCCGGGAGCCGGTGGAGGGGTCAGAGGCGAGGGCGCGAGAGGCAGACAGTGGAGACGACGTAGCCGGCCCAGGCTAAGGTGAGTGAATAGATTTGAAACTCGCGTAGGGATCACAGTGGGCAGAACTTACTAGTGGGTGGAGTGTGGCGGGAGAGAAAAAGAGAAGTCAAGACTAGGGTCTGGGTTTGGGGCTCCAGAACTGGGCGGGGTCATTTCCTGAGATGGGGAAGACTTGGGAGAACCAGGTGGGAGTTGCAGGGATGGAGTGGAGGAAGCTGAGGACTCGAAAGTTCCGTGTTGGACCTTCTATGCTTGAGACGCTCCCTGGAAACCCGTGCGGAGATGGCGAGCTGGTGGGACATCCACAGGAGAGGCAGGGCTGGAGATGTGACGCCCCTTCAGCACGGGGGCCGGGGAGTCCTAGGGCCGGTTCAGCACCTGGGGCTGGGCCTGACGCATTTGCAGCCCCGGACCCTTTGGCATCTGGTCCTGGGTGAAGCTTGAAGATCTTTTCTCAGAAATGCATGAAATGAAATCATAAGCACACCGGCAATATTGAAATTATAATCACAATATTAAAAATAAAATCTGGGACAAAGTTGTAGCATTATCCACTGGTGGGTTTGATGATGCCCGTAATTCCAAAGTCATGCTGAGTAAAACCAACATTTTAAAATATTATACCAATGTGTTGTGATATGAAAATACCTGTGATTTCTATTGGAATGAGTCAGAGGACGGGCTAGTGTGTCTGTGGTTTGTGACCTAAGCTCTTGTAACTGAAGGAAATACCAACTTTTAGTTACAGGTTAGTGGACAAAATAAATAATTTTTTCTTATCCAAGTTCATGGACCCTATAGTCCCCCACTGAGGACCCCCGACCTAGAAGAGATAGTACAGAGAGACCAGAGCCCCCAACATGTAGGGACCCGAAAAGGGGGCGTGAGAGGGAGGCGGCCGGGGCTGGGGGAAAACCAGGAGCAGGTGCACTGGCAGAAGGGAGGGGCCGTCGGGGTGATGGCTGCTGAGATGTCAAGTGAGGTGAGGACACAAAAGTGTCCCCGACAAAGTGGATTACAGGGCGAATGGGCTTCCCGGGGCTAGAGAGACGTGACTGGGGGTGCACAGGAGGATGAGTATTATGGGTTGTTTTTTCTTTGTATTTATACTTTTTTGCACATGTGAAATGTACCATAATTATTTTATTAATGTTGTCAGTTTAAAAAAAGTGAGAGTGGGCGTGGAGGTGAGAAGATAACAACGTGTGGTGGAGGTTTTGTGTTTCGGGGAGCAGAGAGAATGGGGACACAGCCGGAGGGCTGCAGAGTTAGTGTCTAGATGGGAGCAGTTAGCCGTGGTGCTTGTGTGCTGGCACAGTGGGCAGGGGTCTCCCAGGCCCTCAGTCCCCTCTGCCATCTCTACACCAAAGACTCCCCACCTGAGCGAGCATTGCATCCATTCAGTGGGAGGGTTTGTTAAACGCAGCCGCAGATGACTGGGCACCACCCCAGGCTTCCTGGTTCAGTAGGAACCTGGAAGTTCGCGTCTCTAGCAAGCTCCAAGCTGATGCTAATCAAAAGACCACACTTGGAGGAAGGGGACTCCAATGGATATCAACACCGCCCATGAGCACCCCTCCAGGATCTGACCATGGAACAGCCGAGGTGGCAGACGGGGAGAGATGAACCGCTGGAGCCTGGCCCCAGCCAAGGCCAATCCTGTCCCTGGGGAGCACCAGTCTTCCCGGGAACCCTGCCAGACCTCCTGGAAGACTGAGCGGGCAAGGGAAGGAGCCAAGGAGGAGAGGCCAGAGTGTGTGCCGGGTGGGGAGGGATCCAGCTCTCCGCCCGCAGGCCGGGGGCCCTGAGAACACGCTGTTCACCTTGCTCCTGGTGTCATGCCAGGCCAGCTTCCCTGCTTTCGGGAAAGAGAGCAGCCCTGTCGGAGAAATGAGCATCGGCACGTGGGATCCCAGAACATCAGAGCTGGAAGAACCCCTGGAGACTGGCCCGTGCAGCCCCGTTTGGCAGATGGCGGGGCCGGAAGATAGAAAGTGCAGCTTGGCTGATGCACACGGAGCTCTCGTACGAGGGAAAGATGTGTGCCCACGCCCTGCCTCTGGCTCACCCCGAGAAAGATGGGCAAAGGGCACGCGATCGGGGCCATCTCTGACCCTTGCTGCTCCCCTTTCCCATCGACTCAGCGAACACGTTTCCTGAGCACCCACTGTGTGCCGTGCACTGTGCCAGACACAGAGATAAAGCAGTGAGCAAGACCAAGTCCTCGGCGTCATGGAATTGGCATTCTAGAGGGTGGACAGACAATAGACGGATAAATATGTAGTACAAATCGGGGAGTGGTCAGTGTTATGAAGAAATCTGAAATGACATGAGGGAGCGAGCCATGCGAATGCGGTGGGGGTTGGGGGAAGGGTTCCAGAGGGAGCAATGAGGGAACCATATGTGCAAAGGCCCTGGGGCAGGAACAAGCTTGCTATGTTGGAGGGATGTCATTGAGGCACTGCATCTGGAGCCGAGTAAGTGAGGCAGAGAGGAACAGGAGAGGAGAGGAGTGTGGCAGTGGGGCCTGGTCAGGAAGGAACCTGCAGTCATGGCCGCTCCTCTGAAGGAGATGGGGACCCTGGGAGGGTTTTGAGCAGAGGAAGGGTGTGACTTGATGTAGGTTTAACGAGATCCCTGAGTAGGGGATGAGTTGTGCAGGGGACAGGGTGGAGGCAGAGAGGCCAGGGGGAAATCTCCTGGGACAGTCCAGGCGGGAGGTGACGGTGGCCTGGCATGTTCCAAGCCAGGGGGCCTCCCTTGGTTGCTTTGTGCCCTTCCATGGAGAGTGTGGGAGGGACAGGAGGCCTCCCCAGCCCTACCCCATGACCCCAGCCCACGGTCTCCCGCAGCTAGAGAGATACATCCAGATGAACTTGAGGTCGGAGCTGGCGCAGGCCCAGCAGCACATGGTCCAGAACCAGACGGCCACCATGCTAGAGCTGGGCACCAGCCTGTTGAACCAGACCACCGCCCAGACCCGCAAGCTCACCGACGTGGAGGCTCAGGTAACGGGCTCGCAGGCAAGCTCTTCTTGCCTTGACCTCCGTCCCTGGGTAACATCAAGGCCTCCTCTGGGCTTGTAGCCCCCTGATCTCCCCCCTTGCCCTTTTCACAAAGCTATCCTTCCAGGCTATGAGCCTGGGGGCGGGCACTGGGCTTGGCTTTTCCACCTCTGTGAGTCCAGTGCCCAGGGCTGTGCTGGGGCCGGGGTGAGGGTTGAAGCCGCACACCCTCCCTGCCCTCAAGGAGCCTGCAGGGCACCTGGGAGAGACCTGGGGGCTTGGCTGAGGACTCTGAGAGGGGAGGTATCTGAGCAGCAAAGAGGGAGGGAGGGAGCCAGTAGACAAATGGGAGGGTGAAGACTTGAATGGACGAAAAAGCAAATGACAAATGGGCACAAGTTTGTTGAATCCCTACCGTGTTTCAGGCACTGCTCACGACACCCGATTCTAGTTTATAGCAGTCAACAAGACAGGCATATCCCTACCCCGTGGAGCTTACCCAGATAACGCACAGGATGTGTAGCATACACAGTCACGTGCTGCGAAACGACATTCAGGACAACAACAGACCACATACGTGATCATGGTCCCATAAGATTATAATACTGTATTTTTCCTGTGCCTTTTCTGTTTAGATATGTTTAGATACACAAATGCTTAATTAAATAGTGTTATAATAAATAATTAAATGCTCAACACAAATAGTGTTCCAACTGCCTGCAGGATTCAGTGCAGCACTGTGCTGCCCAGGTTTGCAGCTAGGACGCATAGCCTAGGTGTGTAGTAGGCTGCACCATTTAGGTTTGGGTAAGTGCACTCTATGATGTTGACACAGGGACGAAATCCCCCAAGGATGCGTTTCTCAGAAGGTATCCCCATGCTTAAGTGACACACCACTAAGTGTTAGGTGGCAACAGTACTAAGGAGAGAGCATGGGGTGGCGGGTGTGTGCGGGGAGCGGTGGGAGGGATGAGAGCCCCACACCCACACAGCAAGGCCAGGGAGGAACATGGAGAAGGCAGGACTGGGGCCAGGCTTACTGCGGAGAGAGTTCCAGACAGAGAGCAGCACGTGCAGAGCCAGGGGTAGGGGCTGCAACCATGCTGGCAGGTTGCGGGAACATCACGAGACCAGGGTGCTGGAGTGACTAGCGGAGGAATGGCGGCCAAGGGGCCAGAGGTAGTGGGGCCAGATCGCATCACAGGGCCTTGCAGGTCATGGTGAGGATTGCGGCTTTTCCACTGCATGATATGGGAGCCACAGGGAGATTTTGAACAGAGTGCACGTGTTTGAAAAGGCTGCCCCAGGCTACTGAGTGGAGAATGGACTGCAAGGGACAAGGGTAGGAACAGGGAGCCCGGTGAGGAAGCTCACATAGGACATGGGAGACAGAGGCCAGGGCCAGAGGGGGAGCCCCAGAGCAGGGGGTAGGTGGTCAGATGCCATGTAGAAGGCGGAGCTGACAGGACTTGCTGGTGTATCGCATGTGCGGGTCAGGGATGACTCCAGCCGGCCCGAAACCGCCATGTGCGGTGATGGGCGAGGCCGACACAGGAGCAGATCACAAGCTCAGTTAGGGCCTGTGAGTGACTGACCACAGCAATTGCTGGCTGGGAAATGGGTCAACAAGTTTCCGGAGTGGCAGGGCCCCTGCCGGGCTTACGTAGCCCCCACCCACCCCCTTCTGCTTGCTGGGGTAGGTCCTGAACCAGACGTCGCGCATGGAGATCCAGCTGCTGGAGACCTCCCTCTCCACCAACAAGCTGGAGAAGCAGCTGCTGCTGCAGGGCCACGAGCTCCACCGGCTGCAGGGCCACAACAGGTGGGCACTGGCGCTGGCACCAGGCCAGGAGTCCAGGTTGGGACCAGGGCAGGCACTAGAGCCAGGGCTGGGACTGGGGCAGGAGCCAGGGTGGGAGGCTGGACTTGGGCTGGTGTCTGGGTTAGGGCCTGGGGGTGAGGGAGCATTTGGGGGACTAGAGCTGGAGCTGGAGCTGGGACTAGCCAGCGCTGGGGACGACTGAAACTGGGGCTGGAGTCCAAACGGAGGCTGGGCTGGGGGCCAGGCCAGTACCGGGTGGGGACAGGGATGGGGATTTTCCTGGGGACACCTCAGGACGCCTTGATTCTTTCTTTCTTCTTCTTTCCTTCATTTATTTTGTGATTTTTTTTTTTTTTGACAGAGTCTTACTCTGTTCCCTCAAGTAGAATGCAATGGCATCGTCATAGCTCACTGCAACCTCCAACTCCTGGGCTCAAGCGATCCTCCTGTCTCAGCCTCCCAAGTAGCTAGAACTATAGGCACATACCATGACACCCAACTAATTTTTCTATTTTCAGTAGGGACGAGGTCTCACTCTTGCTCAGGCTGGTCTCGAACTCCTGAGCTTAAGCAACTCTCCCACCTCGGCCTCCCAGAATGCTAGGATTATAGGCATGAACCACCACGCCAGGCCTATTTTGTAAATTTTAACAACTTTATTGAGATATAATTTACCTGCCATACAATTTACCTGGTAAATTTTATTGACTTTGCTTATTTGTAAATAAGTCAATCTGATCCCATCCACCTGCTCCCCTTCCCAGAAGCAACCATGGTTGCCAGGCTGTTGTCTGTACTATCAGAGTCTCTCCAAATTTATAAGCAAATATGCATTAGGGGAACACCCTTTAAATTACAAAGAAAAGAACAGTCATGGAATAGAAATAAGGCAGAGAAATCTGACAGCTAAGGCTGATTTCATCTCGGTTTCAAGCTGAGTAGAGAAAAATCTGCTAAGGTCAGGGTTCTGGTGGATGCAAAAATCTACCCACTGAACTAGCCACAGGCCTGTCCACAGGGCAAGATGTTATTGTTGCCCACACGCTGGGTCAGCATAAGGCCACAGGATGCCCCAGCTCCCTCTGATCAGGCTGCAGTTAGTTAATGACAGTTTATCCACCTTCTTATTGTTACCTTGCCCCAAGGTTTCAGTGGCAAGGACTGGGACCCTTTCAATCACTAGAAATCAGTGAAGATGGAGGATGTCATCAGTAAACTCCTGGCCCGTGAAGACAGCTCGTATTCTAGAATCTGAGTGTGCCAAAATTCTCTCTTCCTGCAGCATCATTTGTAGTCAGGAGGAAATTCCTTTTGCTCTAGCTGGATTCATTTTCTTAGTCTGCAGAATGCATCAGCAGAACCAGATATATATTAATGGTACCACGTCTCCCTCCCAGCCCTGGCCCTCAGCCCCCCACCCACCCGAGCCAGAGGTAACCACTGTTCCTAGTTTCTTGTGTGTCCTTCCATTCATTCAATCAGCAATTATCTTCTGAGCTCTTTCCGTGTCCGGCACAATTATAGATACTGGGGATACAGAAGTGAAAAACAGACAAAAGTCCCCACCTTCATGGAGCTGACATGCTATAAGCTGATATTCCAGGGTTTCTTATGAATATGCAAATGTACATACAAAAGGTCCCCAACTTATGACAGTTTGACTTAAAATTTTTAAACTTTAAAACCATGCAAAAGCCATATGCATTCCGTAGAAACCATACTTCAAGTACCCATGCAACCATTCTGTTTTTCTCTTTCAGTGCAGTATTCAATAAATTACATGAGCTATTCAACACTTTATTATAAAATAGGCCTTGTGTGAGATGATTCTGCCCAACTATAGGCTAATGTAAGTGTTCTCAGCCCATTTAAGATAGGCTAGGCTAAGCAAGGATGTTCTGTAAGTCAGGTGTATTAAATGCATTTTTGACTTACAATATTTTCAACTTCCGATGGGTTTATCGGGATGTAACCCCGTTGTAACTCAAGAAGCATCTGTACTTTCCCTTCTTTATCCTTTTTAAGCCCAAATATAGTATACCTCATTGTTGTCATGTTTTGTTTTTTTCCCAGTTATCTGGGAAATGATCATATTACTGCCTCACCTGCTTGCCCATTCTTTTCCCAACTTCACAACGTTCTGCTGCGTGGCTGTTCCTGCTTTCGTTTCCCCAGTCCCCAATTAATGAATATCCAGGTTGCTCCCAGGCTTTAATCCCATCAGTGACACAATGAATAACGTTTCCATATCTTGTTTCACACATGTTAGTATATAGGATAAAATGCCAAAAAGGGAAGACCCGAGTCAAAAGCTTTCTTTGCAAAACCCTCCGTTGCTTTTAAATCCATTACAAAAATATTTCATGCTTACTATAGTATCGGCAAGCAACAGAAACATGTGTGAAATAAAAGCGAAACTTGGTCCCCTCCACCCGGCCCCCATCTTCCTCCTCCACTCAAAACCCCCTGCCCAAATCACAGCACTGGGGGAGGGGGGAGTTTGTCTTTCACGTTCTCCCGAAACACAGGCGTCACTGCGTCCTTCCCTTCCATGTGTCTTTCCAGCCTTCTCTACGTTCGCCCATGTCTCTCTTCGTTTACGCTGTTGCCTTTTTTCTTTCTCTCCTTTTTTATCTTCCTGCACATGGGGTAGACTAGAGGCGCTGGTGAGCGCCAAGTCCTGGGCATCTTTCCAATCTGCAAATGCGCTGCCTCCTTCACGGCTGCAGAACATTTCCAGGGACGCCCAAACACAACAGAGTCAGCCAGTCCTGGCTGTGGGGCATCCAGGCTGTTTGCTATTCCCTAGTACAAGCACTCCCCCGAGGGCGTTCTTGCCGCTGCTCCCTGGAGGACACCTCCTGGGAGCTGACTGCTGGGTAAAGGGTGGCCGTACTTGGGATTTGATCATGGCTACCTAGTTGCTGCCCTGCCCGCCCCTGCCACTCCAACCCATATTCCTCCTCAGTCTGTGCCTGCAGTGGGCGCAGATTGCGGGGCTGTATAACCCAGGGCAGGACGCTCCACCTCTCTGAGCCTCAGCGCCCGTCTGTAGGGACCCTGGGGCCCGGGAACGCGCGGGTGAATGCCTGGCGGGGCGAAGCCTCACGCCCGTGCGCTCCCCGCCCCGCAGCGCGCTGGAGACGCGGGTGCAGGCCCTGGAGACGCAGCAGCAGGCGGAGCTGGCCAGCCTCCGCGGCGAGAAGGAGCGGCTGCGGCGCCTGCTGGGCCGCCAGAGCGGCGCCCTCGCCGGCCTCGAGCGCAGCCTGCGCGCCGCCAGCAGCAACTCCAGCCTCCTGCAGCGCCAGCAGCGCCAGCTGCTCGAGTCGGTGCAGCGTCTGGTGCGCGTCGTGGCGCAGGGCCCGGGTGAGCGAGCGGCGTGCGCCCCAGTGCGGAGGGAGAAGGGCGGGAGAGGGGAGGAGACCCCTGCCCGCCCTGTCGGTTCTCTAGGGCCTGGGACCCAACGCGGGAAAGGAACACAGTCAGCAATAATAATGGCGACAATGACAGTCCCAAGAGGTGCCAATCCAGACTCTGTCCCTTGACTCCATGGGTGACCTTGGGCATGCTGCATCCCTCTCTTGGCTTCAGTTTCCCTATGTTTGGTGGAGGTGATAATAACAAGGACAACAGCAGCCCAGGATTTAGCTCCAGCCCCACTTGCTTGGGCTTGCCCTACCCCTCCCTGGGCCTCAGTTTACCTATCTATGGAAGGGGAAAGGTTGGACTCAATGCACCCAAACGACTTCTCTCGCTGGAATGTCCCTACCCCTAAGCCCAAGAGGGCCAAACAAAAGCGAATCAGCATCCTGGCCCTGGCTTCTGGGAAAAGAGAACAATGCCTGGGCCGGCTCCCCAGCCCTCCCTGGGCTTCTAATGGGGCCCACCTGGGATGGCCGAGGCATTCCTGGTCGCAGCTTCAATCACTCAGTGAACAGACATTTACTGAGTATTCCCTGTGCACCAGGCCCAGTGCTGGGTGCTGGGATACAGCAGTGAACAGGACAGTCGTGGCCCCTGTCTCTTGCAAAAATGCCCACTCCCCATCTGTGGGTCCCAGAGGGAAGGAGAAGGAAATGTGTGTTTTTCAAGTGCCTACTATGTGCCACATATGCTGCTACTGGGTTCCAGAAGTTTCCAGGCAATGAAAGGCCCAAAGGCTGAGCTAAGGAGAAGGGACTTTGACCTGAGGCCAGAGGGGGCACAGGAGGCTTTGGAACAGGGTGGCGCTACATGTAGGAAGCTCTGATTGGAACCACAGAGTGGGGAATGGCTTGGTTAGGCAGAAAGCCCGAGGAAGGGGCTCTGACTGCTGCTGGATCACCATGGGGGGCTGGAAGCCTTTAAGGCACAAGGATTCAAGCAATAGTGATGGAATTCCAGGCACCACCGTGGGTGACACAGATTTGGGGCAGAGGATTTCACCCTGGCTTCGTCTAAGTCCAGCACACCCTGCTGGGTAAGGGTTTGAGGCCCAAGGAAGCCACAGGCAGGAGAAGCAGATGCCCTCCAAACCATGAGATGTGGGGTGACGCGAACCCCTTTCTGGCTTGTGCATAGCCCTGGCAGAGAGGCTGCCTGATTTAATCCCATGTGTGAGTCTCTTGTGGCTCAGCCCAAGGCACAGGACCTGGACCCAGTGCCTCTCCCCACTCAACCACCATGAACCCAGCCTCCAGCTGTGGCCCAATGTCTGCTCACCAGTATGGGTGGGAGGTTGTGTTGGGCACCTCACCTCAGGGGGCACCGTGCACCCAAACACCCTGTCCTCCTCCCCACTGTCACCAGGGAAGGACACTAGGGAGTTGCTTTTGTCCCCTGTCCAGATGGAGAAACTGAAGGGGAGTATAGAGCAGAGGGTTGGATGGGACTAGGCACAGGAGCCAAGTGTCACTGGAGCCTAGCAGGAAGGGAGCGCCCTGCTCTGCATGGCTTTGTCCTGGGCGGGTGGAGCCTGGTGAAGGGAGAAGACAGCCAAGTCTCCTGCTGTTTCCAGGTACCAAGGAATTTGGTTCAGAGGTTGGAAAGACCCAACCTGTGCTCAGTCTAGAAGCAGCATTCGTTACCCAGCCTGTCTGCCAGCCAGGGGAGGTGTGTGGTAGGGCACTGGCTTTGCAGTCAGATGGACCAGACTTCAAGCACTGGCTCATTCACTCACTAGCACTGGGATTGTGTGCAAGTCATTTCACTTCTCAGAGCCCCAGTTTTTCTCACCTATAAAATGGGAATATCACTCTCACAGAGTTCTTGCCCAGAGGGTCAGATGAGTTCACGCATGTGAAGGGGCTCAGCCTAGGACCAAAAAGGGGTGAAACTGGTACAGTTTCACCTCATCAGCCCAGAGATTCAGAGGGGCCTGGGTTGGGGTCAAACTCTGTTTTATATTAATAGCAGACTATCCTATTCTTGTACACACACACACCCAAATGTTTTTCCTGGCCCCAAACAGCCTCTGGAAGTATGTAGCACCTAGGAAACACTGCAATGCATGGTGGGTATTTCACTTTTATTGTTACCGTAATTATTGTTGTTATTGTATTATTGCTGACTAAGGAAAACAATAGCAGACCGAGCCTTGGAAATCTTAGGCCAACTGTAGCCCTTGCTTCATGGGCCCATCCCCACTCACCTGTACGCCAGCACCCCCTCCCCATGCTTGGCTGCACCCCAGTTCCTCATGGGGGCCTCAGTCACCTCGTTTGTGATATGACAGCAGCCTCCTTCAGACAAGTACCCCAGATCCAGGATCTGGGATCCACATTTCAGGTGTAAAGCCAAAACAGGAAGTCCCGCCCCAGTAGCCTCCTGGTTCCTTATTGGTGTTGATACCTGTCCATCTGGAACTTGAGCCACCTGCTTGTGTACCTGCCCAGAGAGTCTGGATTCTGGTAGAATCACAACCCAAACAGATAATTAGATTCCACTAACTGAGACAGAGAGGATTTTAAATCCCTGCAGTTTATTTGGCAACAGTCACTTTTTCCAGGCCAGGCCTGAAGGCCCTCAGGACCTTGGTAGGTTTGGGTTATTATACTCCTGATGTCATGCAGTCCAAAGGGAAGAAACATGGGCCCTCTAAAGCCAATTGTTGGCTCCCATGAAGGGCAGAATGAGGGAACCCAGGCCCAGGGCAGCAGAAAGATCCAGCCAAGAGGGTGGGCTATGGAGGGGAGCCCAAGGCCTCCCACCCAAGGAACTCCAAGGAGGGAAGGGTCTGCTGCACTTGGGCCAATTACTTCACTCTTGGGCCTCAGTTTCTTGGTCTGTTAAATGGGAAGTACGTCACTGGAGTTCAGGCCCTAATTATCTTCCCATAATTAGGGCTCATGTAGAGGACCCCAGCAGCCTCCTTTCTGGTCTCATCTCCCCCTGGCTGCAGCCTCAGTTTCCCTCCTGACACCCTCCCCTGCACACACCAGGACTGTTTCCTCATGGGATCCTTTGCCTATGCTGTTCCCTCTGCCTAGAACACCCTCCACTTCTCCACCTGGACAACTCCTGCTGATCATCCAGGTCCCAGTTCACTGTCACCCCCTCTAGGAGACCTCCCAGGTCTGATCCACCTCTCTGTCCCCAGCACCTCCCAGCCCAGAACCTGGCACTGAGCAGGCAGGCATACTCATCGGCCCGTTCCCTCTCTCCTTGCTCACCTGCAGCTGACTTCTGTGTTGTCCCATTGCAGCCCCCATGAGGGCGGCCGAGCAGGTGTTCCAGGACTGTGCAGAGATCCAGCACTTCGGGGCCAACACTAGTGGCGTCTACACCATCCACGTGGGCAACATGACGGAGCCCAGGAAGGTCAGGAGGCTCCCTGGGGACGAGACTCAGCGGGTGCTGAGCCAAAGGCTTCCCAGACAGACGCCCTGCTAGCATCAGGCCTTGTCCAACAGCTGCGATACTAGAGGGGTGGGGGTACCCCTGCCCCTGAAGCCCCCGCCCCGTCAGCGATCAGATCATAGGGTTAAGCAGAAGCTTCCAAAGTTAGAAGTGCATCTTTCACCAGCACCTTCCCCAGAGATGTTTTTGACTGGACTAGCAGGAGATAGTTCTGTGCTGCTTAAGGTGATGCTAGCTGCTATTACAAATAAACCCTGAAATTCCCAGAGCTTAGCACCAAGAAGTGTCTTTCTAGTTTACATACAGTCCAGTTGAAGGCAGGAGGTGGGGCTTTGCTCCACGTGGGAAATTAGAAACCTTGGCTGATGGTGGTGCCCCCATCTTCAATGAGTGGCTTCCAAGGTGGCCATTAAGGTCCAGTCAGCAGATGGAGAAGAGTCAGAGGGAAGCATGGATGTCAGGAGGGAGGGTTTGGGGCCAGGCCCAGAAGGGGAATAGTGTAACAGCTATGCAGGGCCCCATTGCATAATTCCCTTTTCACTTGCCTTTCAGCCCTGACTATATCAGGGTGAATGGCTCAGATTGTCTCTGATTGTCTTGAACTTCTCACACACCTGCTAAACCCTCCTTTTGACAAAAAGAGCTCTTTAGCAAAGAGCCTCGGCCTCTGTGCTAGCGACAATGTCTAGCTAGGATTTTATAATATTTTGTTTTCATTATATTTGTTTTTACAATTGCCTGCACAAAGGCAAGTGTTACTAGTTTCCATTTATTATCCTGATCAGATTTCCTTTTAAAATACATGTAATCTAAGTATTTATGTCAAAAATAAAGGACACCATTTTTCAAAGTCAATATGCAATATGAAACTAAGTAAATTCAGCTGTGACAGAATTCAGGAAGGTGTAAATGGCTGAAATTTGGGAGCATGGATAGAGGGGGAGGAGCAGGTCTGGAAGGCAAGAGATCTGGGCTCACACCTAAACTTCACTTTTGACTCGTTTGCTGTAGGCAAGTTCTTCACCTCTCTGAGCCTCAGTTTACTTTCTTGCACCCGCTGCTACACCCATTACAGATGCCACTGTCTTCTCCTCCTTAGCAGGCCTTTTTCATCTCAGAGCCTCTACTCTGCTGCTCTCTCCACTGGAAGTGCCATTCCCACTGTCTCTACCTGGCAGGCACGTCATCATTCAATGCACTGTTCCAATACCACCTCTTCCAGGAAGGCTTCCAGGGTTGCCCAGTGACTCCTTCTTGGGGCTCCTCCTTGTAGCTACCCAAATGTTCATAATTAATATTTTCCCGGCCCTATCATACCCTCTCCCAGACCAAGTGAGCCCTGAGGGTTGATTTATCTCTGATTTGTTGATGATTCATTTAATACAGGGCCAGACACCATGTTTTTGTCTGCTGAAGTTTGAACATGTACTGAACTGGCTACAAAAATATGTGAACAAAGGTTAGGCTGAAAGATTAGTTGCCATAGATACAAGCTCTTTGAGGGAAAGAACTCTTATCCATAGTGGAATCCCTAGTGCTTTGAACAGAGCCTGGCACATAGTAGGTGCTCAGAAAACATTTGTCCACTGAATGACAGTAGTAATAGCATTTCCTGAGTCCACACCGTGCACTAAGCACTTTACATCTATTGATATTTAATTCTTACAATGCTGGGTGTGGTAGCTTAAGCCTGTGATCCTAGCTAGGGAAGAGGCTGAGGGATGAGGATTGCTTGAGCCCAGGAGTTCAAGGCTGCAATAATCTATAATCATGCCACTGCACTCCAGCCTGGGCAATAGAGCAAGACCCCATCTCTAAAAAAGAAAGAGAAAAAAAGATTACAAATAAAGAAAGGAAGGAAGGGAAGGAGGGAGGGAGGGAAGGAGGGAGGGAGGGAGGAAGGAAGGAAAGAATTTTAAAAGATTATTGTTATAGCAACCCTGCAATAATAAGTGAAAGGCCTCCATTTACCTAGTATGTCCCAGGCCCTGTTCTAAACACTTTACAGGGTTCATCTCATTTAATTTCTCACAACAACCCCACTTTGCAGATAAAAAACTGAAGCACAAAGAGGGGAAGGTATGAACCCCCATTTTGCAAATGAGATGAAGGCTCTGAGAGAGGATCACTTGCCTATCACTTTAGAAAAATGATGACAATGGATGGGGAATTTGAACTGGATCTTTCTGATTCCCTTGACCCCCGGCCTCACCTATTGCTCTGGGGGTGTCTGTCGGCCAAGTCACATTTGGGCCAACCCAGACCAGGCTTCTGGCTGTGTCCAAGAGCTTCCAGCTGCTTCCCTCCCATTCCCTCCAGGTGTTCTGCGACATGGAGGCCAATGGAGGTGGGTGGACCCTAATCCAGCGCCGTGAGAATGGCAGCGTGAATTTCCAGCGGAACTGGAAGGATTACAGACAGGTAACTGCTGCCCTGGGGAGGGGCCATTCAGCCCTGAAACCTGGGGTAGGGGCCGGGATTTGGGAAGGGGACTGGTTGGCCGTCACCCCTTCCCAGCACAGAATTGGCTCACTTAACACCGACCACCCTCAAATAGATTTGCCCAGTGAGCATTTACTTTCTGGACCCTGAATTGCCTGAATTTGACATTCTTTTTGAAAGTTCTGACATATATCCTAAGAATGAAAATTTAACTTCATTTTTGTTTTAAGTTTTGGAAAAGATAAAACATATACGTTGCTAAAAAAAAAAAATTCTAAAGAATACAAAGGATGAGACAGAAGAAAACTCTCCCACCCACTCCTGACTGCATTGCTTAAATGAATTTCCTGGTCTTTCCACATCTGCAAGAGAGATTCTTTAATGTGAAATTGTGGGCTCAAAGACCACGTGCATTTCATAAGATGAGAAATAGAGCCTGGTTGTCTTCCAACTTTTTAAATTAAATTTTGAATAAAGGGGTTTTTTGGTAAGCTGACTTAAAAGCTTTTAAAGTTTTCAAAACAAAAGAAATAGAAAAAGATAGCCACATGGTAATACAGCAGTATTATTATTTGTGTCTGCTGGCTGTTCATTTGATAAATACTTAAAAATAAATACCAAATTGTGAGTGTTCTTGAACCAGTCGGGCTTTAAACAGTTGTTAAAATGGCAGAGAGGACTGGAGTGTTCGGATGCATAAATACACTAAAGAGTGCTGAATATTACCCATCAGGCTAAGCAGTGGCTCATCGTGACAAAAATGGGGAGCGGGGCTTAGGCATGTCCCTGTCCTTGGTGCTGAATTATTGGTCGGGCCAAGGGCGTTGTGACGAGACACTCCCTGGACGGTTTACATTTCTAGTTGCCGAAATTTTGCGATGGCTGCTGTCACTCAACAAAGTTTGCTCCACCATGTATGTTGCTGCTGAAAATCTTTTATTTGATTTTTATTAAGGTTTACTATGCATGCAACTAAGTGCACAAATCTCAGTGTAAGTGTAAGGCTCAGTGAATTTTTACATATGTATTCACCCATTGACCACAGTTCAGAGCTAGATGCACAATACTTCCAGCACTCCAGAAGCCCCTTTGTGCCCCTCCCAGTCAATTTTGCCCCCCCCACCCCCCCACAGGTAGTCACTATTCTATCACCACAGTTTAGTTTTGCCTGTTCTTGAACTTCGGAGAAATGTGATTTCAGTTATTTTGAACAGGCTTTTACATTTGCAAATATCTTAGTCTTTCTCCTCTAGGAGGTGGGGGCTCCCACCCCAGGCCTGCCTGCCCTGTGTTTATGAACTTGACCATTAGGCACAGCAGTTTTGGAGAAGTGGCCCGGGAGCCTGGCCCAGCCCAGCTCCTCAGCCAGGGGTGCAGCCCCCCTCCTCGGCATGGAGCCCACCCCAGCCTTCCCCTCCCTGTAGGGCTTCGGCGACCCAGCCGGGGAGCACTGGCTGGGCAACGAGGTGGTGCACCAGCTCACCAGCGGGGCAGCCTACTCTCTGCGCGTGGAGCTGCAGGACTGGGAAGGCCACGAGGCCTACGCCCAGTATGAGCGTTTCCAGCTGGGCAGCGAGGGGCAGCTGTACAGGTGGGCTCGGGCCCCAGGCTGGTGGGTGGGCTGGGGACCCTGGGCTAGTGGCTACAGAGTCTGCACCAAGGGTCAGTCCCTGGGCGTCTCCTGTTCTTACCATCTGTCCTCCATTTGGGCACACGTCATGGGGTCTGGAGGCGGCTGGTTAGCACTCAGCACGTCCCGGCTGCTGGGTGGGGTGGAAAGAATGTTGCTGGCGCCACCATCCCGGGAGCAGGAAGGGGCATTCCAAGGTCAGTCACCCCGAGTCAGCTATTTTATGATACCTAGAAGGAGGGAGGTGACTTGCCCAGCCTGTCCTATGGCCTGAGACTGGGTGGAAAGGTCCCTGAGCTGGAAGTCCAGAGACCTGGGCTCATTCTGGCTCCACTCCTGCTTGCAAATGTGGCCAAGTCAAGGTCTGGCTTCTTTGTGCCTCTGTGTCTTCAACAGCAGGATGGGCTTGAATATGAGGGTATTGTAAAATCATCAAGGTTTCCCACTCCTTCCTCAGCCTCGTTCTTGGTGTGTTTAGGAAAATCAATGAGCACTTATTGAGCACCTACTACATCCCGGGCACATTACTCCATTTAATCCTCCCCACGACACTTTTAGGGATGCATTACTGAACCTACTTTAGCAATATGGAAACTGAGGCACTGAGCTTAAGTACCCTGTCCAAATTTACAAGTGCAGCACAGCCTGGATTGGAACTCAGGTCTCCCTGCCACCAAAACTCATGGTGTCTCCACAACTTGATGTTGCTTCTCTGAGAAACTCGAGGATCTTGACGATAAGCCTGGGTGTTGGCTACCTCTGAACCAGGACAGAACTGAATCTATAGACTCACACTCACAGGGATGGAAAGGTCCTCACACGTCACCTGGTTCTTCAGAGGTTGCCAGAATCCCCTCCACAGCTGCAGTCTTTCATTTGGATGCTGGAATACCTCCTCTGATGGGGAGATCATTTCCTCCCAAGGAATCTCAGAATGTGATTCTCTGAATCCCTGTCCAAATTCCTGAATCTTCCTGCCCTTCCCCTGCACTTTACACCTAATTCCACTTCTGGGAACTTAGTGATGTGCTGCCACCTCTCTTCTTATTAAATGCCCCTGCTTATTAAATCCCTCCTTAGGGCACCCAGCCCCAGTCTGATACTGTTCCTCTTTAAAGTGCCAGGTCCAGAGCAGAATGGAACATTCCCTGGGTCTGGGCTGGGCAGGGCTGAGCTGGATGCCCCCTGCTCCTCACAACTGACCAGCGAGGAGCCACAATACCCTGCCGACTGCTACTTAAGCCCCTGGCCACAAAAGAAGGCTTACGTCCTGACTCCATCCCTATCTCCCCGAGTGACCCTGAGTAAGTCCCTCCACCTTCCCATCTGTAAAATGGGTGCCCTAGGTGTAACTACCGCATTCAGAGTGTTATGGGGCTTGAATGAGACACCACACATAAAGCATTAACACAGTGCATGGCATTTAGTAAACACTTAGCAAATGATGGCACGGTCGCCTTCCCGAGGCAACCCTTAAACACCTGCCGGGCCTGCTCTGTGTGAGCTGGAGCCAGGCCTGTCTTGTTCACTGCTGCTCCCATCCCCAGTGACGGGTGCACGATGACTGCTTAAGAGGAAGCTGAGTCTTCCCTATACACGTGGCAATGAAGTCTCGCCTCCCTGATCTAATTCTTGGGCGGCAACTTCTGTGGTCCTAAGTCCAGGATCTGCCATTTTTCTCAGGGATGAAATATCAGGGGAAGCATCTTTTTGCACTAAAGAATCCAGGCCCTAGTGTACAGCCGTGCCACTCTGAACACGTCTGATCTCATTAGATCTCAGAAGCTAAGCAAGGTCGGGCCTGGTTAGTACTTGGATGGGAGAATCCAGGCCCTGCAGCCTGACTGCCTGGATACCGACCCCAGTTTCACCACTTACTGGCTCCGTGACCTTAGGCAAGTTACTTAACCACTCTGTGCCTCAGTTTCCCCATCTGTAAAATATAGTATCTATGTCATAAAGGGATAATCTGTGGTTAGGCACCTAGCATATGGTAAGTGTTAAATAAAAGTTGGAGATATACGAACAGTATATTCAAAGACAAAAATATAACATTTCTGCATCTACATCTTATCTATAGAGTTTATGTCCTTCTATACAAACATACGCACGTGTGTTAGATTTGGAACCTCTTGCCATGCTCTCACGTGTGACTTTGACGCAGTCTCTCTGGCTCCCTGTCTGAGACGTGGAGAGCTCCCTGCCCACAGCTCCAGACAGCTTTGCCCACGTTTGCTTGGCCTTCTGCAGAGCCCTAAATAATATCAGTGTATTGCACACTTGCCCTGTGCCAGGCATGTGCCAGCACTGGTCATTTTGGAAAGGACCAGAGTGGGCTCTACCCCTCAAAGTCATTCACAGTCCAGTGTGTGTGTGTATTTCTGGGGGTGGGCATGTCCACAGGCAACCCCACACCCCCAGGGAGACAGGAGCTGCCTACAAGGAAAGCACAGGGACCATAGAGATGCTTGTGCAATCAGAGAAGACTCCCTGGAGGAGGTGATGCCTGTAATGAACAGGTATTCTTCAGACAAACAAAGGATAGGAAGGGCACGCCAGGCAATGGGGACGTTCTGAAAAAAGGTGGAGAGAGAATTAACATCCAGCGAGGCCACACATACCCCCGATAGGAGCGAGACTCTTTCAAGGCTGCTAGGATCCTAAGGAAGAATGCTCTTTTGGGAAAAGTCCAGGAGGCTGTGATTGGAGATTCCCAGCCTCTGGGGCCTGGAGGCTGCCAGAGGAGGGCTGGGGGAGAGGGACAGAGAAGACATTGGCCCCTGTGCCCCCACCCTACAGGGTCAATTGGCTGGTAAGGTCGGGGGGATCTCCACAAGGAAGCCCAGGAGTGGGGTGCGTGTGCGCTCAGTAGCTGGGGAGCGGGTGCAGGGGTGGGGTGGGAGGGGCACCTTGTTCGTCAGATGCACGCGTGGGGACCGTCTGGAGCCCGGTTGGGGTACATGCTTAAGTGGCCACTGCGCGAGGAGAATGAGGGCAGGCACAGACAAGGCCCAGGCACGTGCCTTCCACGGGCACCCGCACACCCAGGCCCGGCTGTAAGTACAAGACGCATGCAGAGAAGCCCAGGCACACGGGCACACAAGCGCTGTGGAGGGCCTCGCCATGCATGAGCCTGCAGGGGAAGTGGCCTCGGGGGAGTGGGGGCAGGCAACAGAACACACATGCACACACACGCGCACACACACACACACACACACACATGAATAGCTACACCAACAAGCAGACACCAAGACATGCCCGGGCACGTGCAGACATGCCTCCCAGAAGCTCTCGCAGATAAACACACACAAAGCCAAGATACGGAGACAGATTCCAGAGCACACGCTCGGACTCAAAACCAACCCACACACACACACAAACACACACACACGCAGGCACAAAGAATAGTAGCCAAATGCTCACAGCTGCAGACACAGAAACTCACACACAGATCCACGAACATGGGGAAAACACACCCTGTGTGTCTTACTTGGGGACCCCAAGACACTCGTGTATTTGCGTGTGTTTAGGCCTGAGCCATGCACATGCTGAAAGCCCATCTGCAGTGGGAGTTCCTGGCCTGTGACTTGGGGTCCTCCAGTGTCACAGATCCCCATCCTGCCCCCCAGGGGAAGGGAAGAGAGGCAGAGGCTGAGTTGATGACTTGGGGACAGCAGAGGGACTGGTGTTGCTGGAGTGACCCGTGAGACCAGTCGCCTTTGTCCAGCCTGATTCCACTGAGCCCCAGGTTGAATGTGACCCCAAACCTCAGCCTGAGCCCTGAACCGTGGCCATGAGCTGACATCACTGAGCCCTCGATGGCCACAAGGAGAAGCCAGGACTGTATGGGGGCTGGGCGGACCTGCCTGTCCCCCCGAAGGGAGCACCAGGCCAGCCCGGCCTCTGCGCAGTGGGGTTTGCAACGCCAGTCCTGTGAGCCCACAGGCTCGTGGGCAAGGGCACGGTGAGGGCGTCATGGCTGGTCACTGCCATCTGGCCCCCAGGGACGGTGCCCCTGCCTTACCACAGACAGAGGCCATGGGTGAGAGGTGTGGGGACTGGGCCAGCCACACGCTCAGTCCCCACACTCCCTCTGGACCCCACGGGGGGCATCTCCCAGCCAGGCTGTGCCCTGGGGGACCCAGAGCTTCCTCGAGCTGCCCCAGCTGCATCTGCCATCTCGTGCCCCCACCCGGCAGGACCTTCATCAGTGCTCCCAGCCCGGCTCCCTGCCACGGCCACCAGCAGCGAGCACCCCACTCCCGCTCCAGCCAGGCTCAGCTGCGGGCCAGGCGCTGAGTACCAGCAAGCACTCGCCCTGCGAGGCGCTTCTCTGCACACTTCCCATGCTCACGCCATCGAATCACAGCGACAGACGAGGCCGGCACGGTTACTGTCACTGTTGTTATTAGTGTCGTCGGAACAGATGAGGAACATGAGACTCAGGGAGGAGGGGCAGTCTCCCCCAGGTCACGCAGCTGTCAAGTGGCAGAGCCAAGGTTGAATCCAGGCGTTCTGACCCCAGACCTCATGGTCTTTATCACCAGGCAGGCGTGGATGTGCCCACCAGGGCCACAGAGCCCAGCAAAGAAATGCAAACGTCCTCCAGCTGGTTGCAGATGCCAATGTCGCAGAGCCAGGCTGCCCCGGGGCATACATCCATGGGGCTGTGTAGTCAGGGAAGGCTTCCTGGAAGAGGTGGTGAGGAGGTGTGATGGGGCTCTGTCATCATTCGCTGGGCAGCAGAGCACACACAGACCCCAAGTCAGGCCATTCTGGGCTGGCATCTGGCTCTGACCTCTTTTGTTCTGAGACCGTGGGCAGGTTTCTTTGGCTCTTGGGACCTCCCTTTCCCTTGTGTAAAAATGGGAATAATGGGGTGTTGTGAGGATTAAACAGGAATGACTTAACCTGTGCAAAGCACTTTGAACAATGCCCGGCACATAGTAGGTGCTCAAAAAAAAATGTTAGCCACGTCCTCATTATTATCACCATCGTGATCCTGCTCACTTCTCTGCAAGACGAGGTCGGTGAGAGGAGGGAGGCCTGGCACACAGTGGGGGCTTTGTCCTGGGAGGCAGCAGGCAGGGAGGGCAAGCCAGTAGGGGAAAGGGCCCAGCACCCACCCAGGCTGGGGCTGCCCCTCCAGGGACAGCCAAAGGGGAAACCCAGCCTGGGACACAGCCCCTGGGGAGGCCTTTCCTCAACACAGCTCCAACCTGACTCTGGGCTCCTCTCCCATCACCACTTCCCGGTGGCCTCCAGGCTTTCTCTGAGTGGGTACAGCGGCTCGGCAGGGCGCCAGAGCAGCCTGGTCCTGCAGGGCACCAACTTCAGCACCCGTGACGCGGACAACGACAACTGCCTCTGCAAGTGCGCCCAGATGCTATCTGGAGGTGGGTGCAGGGTAGGGTGAGAAATGGCACCCCCGTTCCCTCCCTGGGTCCTTGGCACCCAGGTGCTGTCAGGAAGTGGGTGCAGGGCAATGCTCCGTCCATGCCTTCTCCCGCTAGGTCGCTGAGGTCCCGCCGGGTCTCCCTAAAGCTGGCACCACCAGTTTGCCTCTGAGACCAGGCTGGAGGAACACTGAGGGTGGGCCACGGGCGGGGCCCAGGGTCCCATCGGTACCTACCCCTGGCGAGAGAATGCCCCACCCCCAGGCCAGGCAAGACGGGGATCAGGAAGACGGGCCAACAGAGGTCAGAGAGTGGGACATGGGGATACGTGAGAGCCAGAGACAGTGCAGGAAGAACAGAGATAGGACGAGAGACCTCCTGAGACAGAGACAGGGGCAGATGGAGGCAGAGGGAGACGCCAAGGCTGGCAGAGAGCTGCGTGGGGACAGGGGAGCTCCCAGGGAGCACAGGAGAGAGGAGTGCAGCCGGGCAGAGGCCGGGGATGGACACGGCATGACAGAGGGACCCAGAGACAGGACAGCAGAGACCCAAGGCGGAGAGAGGCAGAGGCTGGCAGGGAGACAGGAGCAGTCAGGAAGGGGCACACACAGACAGACACGGCCCAGAGACGCCAGAGAGGAAGGGCTGAACCTGGTGTGTGGGACTCAGAGAGAGTGACGACACCGGGGAACGTGGGCCGGGGCGGGAGGGTGGAGGGAAGGCGAAGGAGGACAGCAGCTCACAGAGGGGCCGAGGAGAAGCCGGGAAGGAGCCCCTCGCTGTCCCAAGGCCCCAAAGGCAGGGGTCTGTTGTCCACCCACCCCCACCCCACCCCCACCCATGCCCACTCTCCAGCCAGCTGGCTTCCCGGAGGAGGCAGCAGCCCCAGTTAGCCCCAGCAGCCCCCCTTTGTTCTCTTTGGGGTGCAGGGGCTGCCCTCACCCCACTGGCCAGGCCCCCACTCCCCACAGCCCCTCTCCTCCCTCTTCCGCCAGGGTGGTGGTTCGACGCCTGCGGCCTCTCGAACCTCAACGGCATCTACTACCCGGCCCGGCACCACGTGCGCAAGCTCAACGGCATCCGCTGGCACTACTTCCAGGGCCCCAGCTACTCGCTGCGTGCCACTCGCATGATGCTGCGGCCCGTGGGCGTCTGACGGGCAGGCGGCCTGGAGGCCGGACCACCCAGGAGGAGCCCGGCCCTGGCATCCCGTGGGCAGCTGCACCCAAACACAGGACGCAGTGCCAGGGGCTCGTCCTCGACGCCCTGGGCCTCCTGAGCCACCGTCCTTGCCCCAGAAGTCCAAAGAGTCACCTGCCTCCCTGTTCCGCTCAGTCTGTGAAATGGCGGGGCTTCGGGGACCCGTGCCTCTGCAGTACCCCTCACCCTCTTCCCGCAGGCCCTCCCTGCCCGCCTGAGACGCGCAATACCCTGAATGAGCCCAGAACAGGCCAAGCTTAGCTCCTCAAAGGAGTACGTGGCTAGGGCTGGGATGGCGGGCAGGTGGGAAGGTATTTGCAGGCAGGAAGCCGCCCGGGTGGAGGCTCAGATTCTGTCCCTGGGCTGGGTGAGAAGGCCGTCTCCCACTGGAAGCTCCTGTTCAAGCTTTCCTAGACCTGAGACGTCCTGGAGCTCTCTTTTCAAGGCTGAAGGGTCTGCATCCACCCCCAGTGGGTGGTTTAATCACGATTTCCCCTCCACACTCAACCATGCCTAGACTCCGACGCCTGGGGCTCAGGGGCTTCAGGAGACCCAAAAGGCCCCAGCCCGTCCTAAAGTGTCCTTCACCCCCAGCCTGTCCTAAAGTGTCCTTCACCCCCAGCATGTCCTAAAGTGTCCTTTACCCCCAGCATGTCCTAAAGTGTATTCCACAGGGAGTAACTAGGGCTCCTCTCTATAAGTACCTGTGATCAAGTGAGAGAAGGAAACAGCAGGTTAAATCATAGTGAATAGATATTTTTACCTGCAGTACTTGTCAGGGCCTTTAATGTGGTCCCATGCCTTGTGACTGCACACAAAGGGACTAGTGTGGGCAGCTTTCTTCAGATTTACTTATTTGAAATCGGCCCTGTTTGTTCCAGGGCATCTCTCCAGGCTGTAGATGCCCTTGGAAAAAGCTGGTCCTCGCCCGTCATGAGGAGCCCCAGGGCCCCATCCTCCACCCCAGCTGTACTCAACCTTTTTGGCTACAAGGGCCACACTGACGATCTCAGCCTCTAAAAACAACTGGAAGGAAGCTTTGGGTTGAAATAGACACATATCATCCCTGAAGAAAGGTCTAGAACTAAGTCCCTGTGTGCTAATGTCCTCCAAGGCTCCTTCTGGCCCCATTAGGCCGGATCTCTGCCCGTGTGGCTGCCCCCAGGACTCCCTGCAACCCAGGCTCACCCAGGCTCAGGTGCAGGGATTGCTGGCAGGACAGCAGGCGCCGGGTCCAGATCCCTCCAGAACCCGGAGCCCCCTCCTCCCCACCTCCCCAACAGCGATGCCTTTGCCTGAGTTTGGGGGACCAAGAGTCCTTCATTTGCTTCCTTCAGGGGCTGGAGTCGGGAAGGGTCCACAGCCCCTCTGCCACCCATGCCGTCACTGTGTCACTCTCCCAGCCCCTCGTCATTGCCCAGGGCCCAGCCAGGCCCCACCTGCGCTAGCCCAGGGTGCACCTCTGCCTCCAGAAGCTTTTCTCCGGGATGAGGCTGGGCCGGCGGGAACGGGACACCTTCATCCCACGCGGCTCTGCCCCGGCCCCTGCGTCCCACTCGCAGCCGCCCCCGAGTCAACCCAGCACAGACGGACTCTGATCTTCAAACAGCATTTCCCCCGCAAGCCCCAGGGCATGTGGTTGCTAAAGGGGCATTTCAGACAGGACGGGGAAAGTGTTTAGGGGCAGGCTGCTGCCCAGAAAGCCCAATGCCTTACGCAGCATCTGCCTGGTAGACCTTTATTTAGCATCTGCTGTGTGCAGCATGGACCGTGGGCAGTCTTCGGGGGAGTGGCTCAGCCTCTTAAGGCCACAGTTGTCTTGTCTGTAAAATGGAGACGGGAAGACTCCCTCCTCCCTGGGCTGTGGCGAGGGAGAAACGGACCGTGTTTATCAACGTCGTAACAGAGCCCGGCGTGAAGCAGGTGCCTAATAAATGTTAGTGCTCAAAGAGGTGAATGGGGTGAGGAAGGCGTCCCCCCGCTGCGTCTCATCCCCCCTCCTGGGCCCCGATGAGGGGAAGGCACTGGATTTTTGTATCCACAGCATTCACTTTTGCACTGCAGAGCTTACGGGCCGGCCGCGTGCTGGAGAGGGGGTGGGGGCCACGCTGGGAGCCCCAGGGTAGGACCCCCCTGGGTGGGGTGAAGGCCAAATCTCTGTCTGCACTCCCGTGTTCTAGAAGGCCAGGAAGCTGATTCAGGTTACACTCGGATGCCTGTTCTGAAATATTCATCCTTCCTTCTCACCTTCCTGCCTCCTCCATGCCAGGACTCTCGGGCACAAGGGAGAGAAATTCGATCCTAAGGCATAAATTGACTCATGCAACTGGGAAGTCTGGGGGTAGATGCAGGCGAGGGTAGATCCAGGGGCTCAAATGATGTCGCTCCACCGTCTGCCGCATTGACTTCGTTCTCAGCCAGGGAGGGTCTCTTCTGACAAGCCGGCTCCAGCAGCCCCGGCTCATGTCCTCCCGGCTCGGCATCCCTGACAGGGAGCTCCCCTGTCCCAGTGGTTCCAGCAAAGGAATGCCTTTCTCCAGCCAGGGTTGGTCCTGGTCTATCCTGCACATATCACTGCGATTCTGATTGGCCAGGCCTGGGTCACACGATCATGCCTGGAACCAGGGGTGGGGTCAGCCCACTCAAGTCATGACGCTGGGCAGGGAAGAACAGGTGTTCCCTTTCCCACCTTCCCTGTCTCTGACTCCCACCTCTCTTCTCTCCATCTCTGTCCCCTCTCAGCCTCTCTGTCCCCAACATCTGGCCCCAGACTTTAGCTCATCCCCAGGTGACCTTGGAGTATCAGGGACAAAGCTGTGTCCTGCCCAGGGATATTAGACCCTGGTCACAGCCTCTCTCTGCCCCTGGATCAGAGCCTCAGCCTTCTCTGAGCCTCAGTTTCCCTTTGGTGCAGTAAGGACAGAGCACCTGCCAACCTCTAATGCTCCTTCTGACAGTGATGCTGTCTCCCTTCACCAAAGACTCACGATGGCCACGGACAAGACGAGCCGGAGGACCCTGGGCAGCACAGGGCTCGTGCTGGGTGTCCTGGGGCCAAGACTACACCAGCAACTGGCTCCTAGGATACCTGCATCTGCAGATTCCCGGGCAAAATTCTGTCACCTCTCCCTGCATCAGACCGGTTTTCTCCCCATTTTAGTGATGAAGAAATTAGGGCTCAGAGAGGGATAGGGCCTCACCCAAGGCGGCACAGCCAATCACCACTTCAGCACACTCGAATCTATGAGCTGCCACTCGCTGCCGGGGCACTCTGGAGCCATCTTGCATACCACAGAATGTGGGAGTGGTGTCCTCTCCACCTGTATCAAGAGCCGAAGGAACTTTCTGGAAAGGCTTCCAAGACTAGTCTGTCTTTCCTACTGGCACCTGAGAGATCCTGGTGGAGCCAGCCAGGCAGAACACATTGTTTCTGAGACCTGTGCATGTTCCTAGCAAAGGCGATTTCCACGCTGGGGAGAGTTCTCCGTGGACCCCCCAGAGACGACAGCCACGGGCGAGGTAGAAAGTGGCCCTTTGCAGGGGAGGGGGGTGGCCGCAGTCAGGACGGTTTGTGTTAGTGGCTGGGGGATTTGACGCCTTGTTCTGAGTTTTCCTTCCCCCCGGTGTCTGTGTGGGCCTTCACCCCTCCCATTTAAAGATGCTTCAGAAAGCTAACCGTGTTGCCTTGGCAACACCAGCATCAGCATCTTTTGATGGAACAGCCCTGCGGAGAATGGGGTCTGGTCCACGCCATGTCCGGCAGAAATGTGCTACTTTCTTGTGTCAGGTTGACGTGTGGTTGTGCAGCTGAGGCTCTCGGGTGTCCCGGGGGCAGGGCGGTCTAACGGCCTTCAGCACATGACACATTCCTGCCCTACCATACGTACGGGGCCGCGCTGAGTCTCCTTTGTCTGCGATGTGGGGAACCTGGGCTCTGGTTCACGGGGAAGTCATAAGAGTTCAACGTGACGGTGGACAGCCCAGCACATTCGTTCATGCATTTATTCATTCCTTCATGCGTTCATTCGATCACACAGCAAATGTGTGGTGCGGGGCTGCCTGGGCCAAGGCCTGGTGGGTAATGCGGGTGGAGCAGTGAACAAGCAGACGTCCACGCTCCTGTACTCGCAGCTGAGCAGGCTAGAGGCAGAGACTGGCAAAACCTAATTTAAACCTAATTTAAAAAAAAATAGTTTAAAAGAGCAAACTAACAAATTAACTAATGCATTCTTGCAAATAAAGATAATAATCAGGAGGCAGAAATAAGAGAATTACAGAGAGTCCAACTTAGGTTCAGGGAAGACCCCTCTGAAGATATAATTAAATTGAGGACTAATCAGGTGAGAGAGAGGCAGCCAGGTGCAGAGGTGTGGGAGGAGCAGCTCCACTAATGGGAACAGCAGGTGCAAAGGCCCTGGGGTGCTCATGAGCTTGGCTAATTTGAAGAACCTCAGGAGGCCAGCGTGGCTGGAGCCCAGTGAGCAAGTGGGAGGATGCACCTTCCAAACACCTCCATCCAAGACCAAGCCCAACCCAATGCCCTCCAAGAGCTGGATCCAGTCACCTCTCTGCCTCCTCCCTGTGGAGCTGGGACAAATTCCTACCCCTCTCTGGACCTCAGTTTCCCAGTCTGTAAAATACAGGAGAGGGATCACCAATCACCTCCACCCAAAAGTCACCCAAATCCTGTTATTGTATCAATCCATGTCAAGGGCTATTGCATCCACTGCTCTGAGCTGGGCGCCCCTGGGAGAGTCAGAAGGTGGAAGAGAAAATAAATGGGGAGTTAAGAGTGTCTCCTACATGGGGTCGAGACTTGGGTGGGAACAACAGGCGTGGCCTGTGTGCCTCCTCCGTGCTAACTCTACACACCCCATCTCATTGAATCCTAGGAAGTTCTTTTATCACCCTCATTTTACAGATGTGGGAACTGAGGCTCAGAGAAGGGAAGTGCCTAGCCTGAAGTCACACTGTGAGTCAGGGTACAGGCTAAGCCGCTGTAGAATTCAGTGGATTAATTATTAATATATCTCTGCCATGCTTGTCTGCTGCTGAGCAATCCATGGCTGGTGCGTAGCTCTGCCACCCGCAACTGCAGCTTTCTTTTCTGGGGCCAGGCTCACTGCACCCAAAGGTACCATCTCCTGATTGCAGGAAGAGAAACGGGACACCCAGCACAGCCCACCCCTGCAGCACCTACCCTCCCGCCCAGCCTCGTCTCTTGCCTGGACGATCCCAGCAGCCTCCCAACAGGGCACCATCTTTAGGTTTGCTCCCTGTTGTCCATGTCACTCCCCCTGCCTGGAGTCTTCAGTGGCTCCCTAGTACCTTGAGAGTAAAGTCTAACGCTCTGTCCATCTCCAGCCCACCTCTGCTCCAGGGGTTCTCAGTATGGGGCTCGGAGGCTTCAGGCCTGAGTGTCCCTTCTGAAGAAAGGGTCTCAGATGACCATCAGTTGTCCTGAGGGAAACGTCCATCTCCACATGAACTTTATGTCCCCATGGCACTGAGTGCAGCGCCCCGCCTGCTGCAGCTGCTCTAGGTATGTGGCTTACTGGTTCAGCCCCCTGGTTCTGGGGAGAGCTGAGCCCAAATCCTGCTTCTGCCGCTTAGAGGGATAACAACAGACCCTCTAAAACCCCTGTGCAGGATTCGCCAATTGCAAGGCACCCAGGACAGGGTCTGTGCACGGTAAGTTCTCTCGAATTCTTTCTCCGTGCCAAGCACCACACAAAGAGCTTCCCTTAGCTTATCCATGGCAGCCCCATCGTGACCCTATTGGATAGGTGATATTGTCGTCACCCCCTTTACAGGTGGAGAAAAGGGAAGTCACCTGGCCAAAATCACATAGTGAGGGGTCACAGAGGTGGCTTTGGAGGCACATCGCCTGCTCCAGAGTGTGTTTTACCTTGATCTTGTGACCAAGGTTAAAGAAAGATCATTAAACCCATAAGCAGTTGCTGAGTTCAAGCTGGCCATGCTTGAAACTCACACAAGGTAAAGGCTCCGTGTCCCCACTGGTCCCTCCTGGGAGTGAACTGGAGCCTGGGGGTAGGGGACGGGACCCTCCTGGCTTCTGACTTCCTGACTCTCCTGCCCTGGTGACAGCACGTGTGGCCACGGGCCTGCCGCCCTGGCTCTTTTCTGAGTAGGACTGAACTTTCTTTTTGTCAACTTCCTGGGCCTCCCGCACTGTGCCCTGGGCAGGGCAGGGACAGGGACAGGCCAGGATTTCTGATTCTGATCTGGGAGCCTGGCAGGCCCCTTCCCTCAGCCGTCACCTGCCCCCCACATCCAGTGTCTGGGACAGTGTCAGGGTCACAGTCACCCAGTCTGTGTCCACAAATCACAGAGGCCTGGACCAGCCCCATCTCTCTCTGGGCCTCACTTTCCTCATCTGTGAAATGGGGGTGAGCAGCCCAGCCCTGCTCGCTTCGCAAGGTTGCCACAAGACTCAAAGAGGAGTGTCCCTTCCCACAACAAGTAGTTGCTGAGTCCCTACTATGTGCCAGGAACTGTGTGCTAGGCACAGGGGACACAGCCAAGAACAAAACCGACTGACGTCTGCTCTAAGGTTTGGGGTAGGTGAGAAGAGGCAGAAATTTAACATAAATTAACCCAACAACCAAAGCACAGTGAACGTGACAGGGGAACTAGAAGGTGCTATTGGAGCAAGGACACCAACACAGTTGGGGAAGGCATCCTTAAAGGACGAGGAGGAGTTAGATGATGAAGAAGAAGAAGGTTCTAGGCAGAGGGGACGGCAGGTGCAAAGGCCTGGGGTTGGGGGGACGGAGCTTCAGGCAGCTCAGACAGGGACAGAGGGGAAGAGGCCCGAGCCCTGGCAGGGGTAGGGGAGGCAGGGCCAGACCGAGACGAGTAACACAAGGGGACAGAGCCAACACAGGACGAGTGCGTGGGGTGGCCCAGAGCCTGCCGGCTTCCCTGTCCCCTGAC